AGCAAACCCACGTGGCCCCTTTCTCCCACCCTCCAATCTTCCCACCTTCCCAACGGTTCTGGAAGAGATTTCTCTAGACAAGTGGAAAAAACCTGTTTATTTAACAGGCACAGCACTACCCAGCACAAGAATGATCAGTATCAAATTACGAAGCCTCTCGACACTCTGAAGAGATGACAAAATTCAGAGGGTCTCTTTCCTGTGGGTGTTCACTCTGTTTTCAATCCCTCTGGCATTGGAAAATGCCACTACCCAGGCTGGGCTCCTGGTAGTTCACGGGTGCAAGCTCCCGATGTTCCCCCGAGTCCCCAGTCCAGAGCAGGTTCGATCTGTTCAAGGAAAAGAGAAAGAAAACAGTCCAGGAAGACCTCACTGCTCTGGCTAGCTGGAAAAGCCAAGGCGATCTGTGCCTTGTTGTTTGTCTGTGCTGTAGTCAAACCCCGGCCCAGGATGTGGGGGGAGCAAGTACAGTCTCTGATAACAGACTCGGTGCTTCTTCCCCTCTCACTTTTACTCTTAGATGAAGCTTTAAGGATATAAAACCTATTTCTGGTCTAGGTGGATGAATGGGGATACAATTTAACATCACACTCACCCCAGGACACCATGGCATGTCAAGAGAAAACTTCTCTCCCTACAAGAACTGATGAAACGGTATTGTAACAGTAACATCCCAGGTTTTGTTTCTACATTGTCAGTTGGGAAAGGAAAGAAGTTGGGCAGCGGGAGGAAGATTCTGATACTTCTTATTCTTGTAGGCCTGGTAATAAAGTTTCTTTATTCCGTTTAAGTTATAAGTCTGTTTTGCCCTTCTCCTAATTCGTATCCCACAGCCAGAAGTGAGTGCACTGGTGATCTTAGCACTAAACACACCACATTATTTGGTGCATTGGCTGGGAAACTCAAATTGGCAAATCTAAACCACTACAGAGGAGCAGACTACTTTTACTCAAGCGCTTGCAAGTGTGTTGAAGTGTGTCTGAATTCAGGCACTCTTGTTTTAAGGGTTAAGCAGTTACAAACACTAAAACAGAGTATACCAGCAAAACTCTTTTAAGTGGAGATGAGCTTTCAGGCTTCCTGAAACAATAGGTATAAGTTTAAAGGAAGGCTGGGGGAAATCTCAAATCTCTCCTCTTTGAAAGCAGGAGACAGACATGACCTCTTGCTCTGGCCCACTCTTGGCTTTCTGATGTTCTTTTAATTGAGACTGTGATGAGGAAGCAGTACAGAAAATATCTTCTAGAGTAATAAGGGCAAAAAGTATGAAAACTTCATGGAACAGATAATGGTAAATCAGAAATAAATTACCTATAAAATGAAGATTTAGAAGAAGGGTTGGAGGAATAGAGAACAGAAACCTTGCCGACATCTCCACAACACCAGGCTAAAGACACCAAATCTGGTTTCTGAGTATTTTTCTACCATTTATTCATTTCTACCCACATTAAATCAGAATTCAAAGCCTTTTACCAGCAAAATAAAAATTCATATTCATCAGCTACTTTTTGCACTTGAAGTTACTCTAAGATTTTTGAAGTAAACTTAGCTTTGGCATCTAATTTAACGTAGTTGCACTAGAAATCCATGCTTTTGAAACTTTGTGTGCATGGTGATTTCCTGACGTGGCTTTCTTCCATAGGAGACCCTGTCCCTCACTGAGCCCTGATTTTTAAGGCTATAGAGAGAAAAGGTCTGTGCAAAGATCCACATTATCCTTACACTATGAAGAGCTATATTATTAGTATGAATCAGCATTGAAGTGAAATAGTATTAATATTAATATTATTAAAAATAATAATTCAAGTTTTACTCTGTATTGGTTAATGAAAATTGTCTGTGGCAGTTCCAGCTTTGGGCACAAGAGGTAGATGTTTTCACATGAAACTTCCATAAAACATTTAACTTTACTAATCAGCTACTATACTTCAGGATAAGGGGTAGTCAGCTGTTGCTAATTTCTTCTTGTATGTTTTAAGTAGCAATAAATTTACAAAAAGTGAGATTAATTGTAAAGATGTAATATGCAGAATGGGAGTAGCCAAGCATTTATTTATAATGAGTTCTTTATTTTGCCCAGGGGATCTTGGGGCTTCATAGGGAATCCAGTGTCTTGTCACTATTTTGTTCTCTTGACAAAATGTTGTTATATACACTTACATGCACTTTTGAGATCAGAGTACACATAGTGAAACTGATTTTGTGGGGGAATGAGAATATATGTCTCTGGCATTCACCTGACCAGCGCTGAATCTAGCAACATTCTGTGTGGGTTGGGACTATTTTGTTAGTTATTTCTTGCTCTCTTCATCTTAACCAGATTTAAAAGCCAAACGTATCTATACCCTTAAACATGGTTACATTTTTAAAATACAAAATTTATGTTATATGGTTTGGAGTTTTTTTTAATAAGAAGACATAGGGAAGAATTACTTGAGCACATTTATATATTTGAATTTTTGACATTGTGAAAACTTTTCCATTCCTAAATATCATGGAGAAAAAGCAATACACTACCTTTACTTAATTTCTGTAGGGACGACAAACACATTCCTTGGTTAACAGCTGCATAAAAGAAGGATTACCAGTGATGTGATTATGGAAATTTTTTGTATTAATACAAATATGATCATTGCTTTGTATATTGACTTAAATCAAACATTATGTTCAAAACATTACCTGTATTTTACATTTCTTACAGCTACGTAAGTATGATACTGCTTTTTAAAAAAGGTGTCAGTGTAGGCTTTAAACATATTTTTTCACAGACCTGTGTGTTACACAGATTCACAGACTCCAATGTAAAAACTAATCCTTTTCATTCTAGGTCTATTCTTTGCTGTGGGAGGACCAGTATAGTGGGATCTGGTTTGTGTACATATTCATTAGAAGACACATTAACTTTATTGTAGTGACTTATATGAGTGAGGATTGCTTGCGTGAATGAGTTCAGAAAGGGAACTTATTTTATGATATACTCTACCTTATATTAATTTAATAACTTTCTTCATAAACATGCAGCATTTTCCACATAAAAGAAAACCAGCTGTGGAACAGTAACTGAGGATAACTCCAGCTAATGCAGTTTCATATTCCCAATTAACTTAATTCTTAAGAAACCCTCACAATAAACAATCCAAATAATCTTTATTTTTTTTTTAATGCAGTGGTAATACTTCAGGAATTTAAGCAGCAAAAGCCAGAACAAGACAGGCTTACACAGTAAAATGCCATCCTTTTACCTTGGGGTGTTTGCAGAAACCTCCTTAGCACAAACTCGTTACAGATTTGGTAGGTAAAGAGTCCTTTCTAGGGAAAACCAGTCCTGCCTACAGGACTACCGGAGCTGAGTGTGACTTTAAATGAACCACTTTTCTTTCAGCCAGACTGTGAGAGGCTGTTTCATGCAGAGAGACCACAGACACTCTATCCTGTCCCCCAGGCAGCAAGAAGCCAAAAGGAGCAAATCTGCAGTGCTGCAACAATGTGTGTTTCAGGTCACAGGCTGCTTCTGTGAGCACAGATCTGACACCACAGACCAGTTTGGCAGTGGTTCTTTTTGTTTGGCTTCATGTCCTGACTGACCCACTTGACACATTTTTAGTAGCAGCTATTTGTAACAGTAACAGGGTTTGGAGTTCAACTGGCATCCTGGTTCTCTACTACATAAAGCGAGAACAGCCTAATAGAAGGCTGAGTCATATGCTGTAATAGAGTACTATGTAGAACTGTACCTAAACTACAGCTACCTAAATTAGTTTTTGAATACATGAGTGCAGCTATGATATGTGATTATTGTTTGTGAAGCAAATAGTCTTATAATTATGTGATAAATACCAAGTATAATATGATGCACCAGGAAAGTGAAGCACAGTGAAATTACAAAACCAGGATAGTCTGTGCTTTTGAGCTGTATTTCCTGTTTCAGTACCAAAAATGCACTAGACAAGAAGGTAGATGGAACTTGTAGAACCAGTGGAAAATAATGGGATGATGAATTGAGATCTCTATTTCAAATTCAACCTCTCCTACCTTAAAATTAGGTGTGCAAAATTTAATACTATGCAGTTTTCAGTTTTTGATGTTTTAGCATAACAATGTATGAAAAAAAACATAGCAGAACTTAACTGAGGTCCTGAAAAACCTCCTGCTTTGTGCTTATCAGATCCAACTGGGAAAACATCTTATATAGAGCTGGAGGGGTTTCCTTTTAACTGCAGCTTTCATTTGAGAAAAGGTAATGGGTAATGAATACAGGAATATTACCAATAGAATAAATAATTCAGGCCATTCAGAACAATGAGAAGGGAACTGTTGCTGAAATGTGGTTTGTTAAGATTTTTCACAACAGCCCAACTGCTAATAGTGATAGGTATTCAGTTCTGAGGTTAAGTTTTTAAAAATGTCCTATTGTTTACTGGATGTCTTTTTTTGATATTAAAATGATAGCTAAATTGAGGTTATGGCTAATGAACTTGCAGTGAAAAAAAACCTCACTACTTTCACTTAATAGCACAAATTTAGATTATCCCAGAAACATGATTAAAGAGGGATTACGTTAGAGAAACTATTTTAGCCACTTTATTTGGGACACTAAAAATCACCCAGAAGTTTTGGTTATTAATTCTAATACACAGCCTCCAAACATGTGACTGAAATGAACATTGTTCTCTTTGCTGTCAGGAGGCATGAAATTCAAGGAGCTGGTTCTGTTTTGGAAGCAGACCTTAATTTTTTGCAATGTACCTTAATGTAATGCAATGTACCTTTGCAATGGACTTTAAATGGTTCCATGTGTCACATATTTAAATTTATCTGTCTCTTCCATGCAACTATTTGATTTGCACTAATCTGAAATTTTCAGATGTGTTTCTTGGAGGATGAAGCTCATTGCTTCTCTTCCAGGACTGCCTTTCTGCAATGCACTACTGCTAGATTATTTTTTAGCATGACCTTGATCTACTTGCAAAAAGATGGAATTTCAATCTTATTGTTCCAAGCTTTTAGAATTAACTATGCACAATTCAGTAAGTGGCAGGATCCCATTTAGGCTGTTGCCTAAAAGAAGAAATGGAAGATACTTTTCTCTATTTACTTAATTGTTAATTTTTTTTTATTTCAAGTAAATTGTTTCATTTCTTGTTTTTGTTTATTTTAAAATTACCAGAAATACTGTAGTAATTTGTTTCATATAAATGCATATAACTATTCTCCTTATGAACAAAAGCTAGCTTTGGGAAAATATATCTGGAATGAGGACAATATCACTACTTCTACCAACTTAGCTTAGTATCTCCCTATTGCAGATCTTGAAAAAGTGTAGCCACTATATGTTTCAGAAAAAAAAATAATTAATTTATTAGACAATATGAACATATTTTCATACTTGTATTTGAATTGCAAGGAACTAACAAGCATATATTCTTTGCTCAGCCTGGCTAAACTTTTAGAAATGTACTACCTAATTTGAAATCCAGAAATTGCTCAGTGTACACAGAAGTGTATGCCAAATGATGATGCTTTTGGAAACAATTTTGGAGCAAAACAGCTATAAAAAAACCAGAACATTAAAAAGAAAAAAAAAATAATAATAAAGCTGTTCCTGAGAGAGCTGTAATTTTGGTTTCATTGATTACGGAACAGACTTGGCACTAGCAAAAGGACATGAAAACTGAAGAGAGATACTATTTTTAAAATTAAGGCGTATTTGCAGATTCCCTTTGCTGTAACTGACCATCTGTCTGAGGACTTGTTGGAATATGCTGTCATGGTACACTTCAGAACCCTTGGAAACAAGAGGAGGAAAGGCAAGCCAATGTTGTGAGGTGCCTCAGGGAGGCAAAGAATTAGTTTTAGATAATCATTGTTAAAGTGAGAGGCATGGCTGTAAGCCCGGCTAGTGTGAATTTTGATGACCTGCTTTGGGGGATGGGCCATGTGAAGCCTGGATGAAGTTGCCCCACCCCAGACCCCTTGTGAGGGGCAGCCCAGGAATTCTGATTGTGTTTGAGACCCTGGGGTTTCTTCCTTGTTGTGTTCCTACTGGTCCCTGACCCTGAACTCTACCCTAGTTCTGTCCATCAAAAGCCATCTCTCTGCCTTTGTTCAGAGCTCTCTGTCTCTGAATCTGAGTTTGTTCCCATGCTGAATAAATGATTTCATGAACAGAAGCCCGTCTCGTTAATATCCCATGCTGGTTCCTAGTAACTGTAGCTTCTCTGGACATGATCCTGTAGTTGTGGACTGCAGCAGCCAATACAGTGGAAAGCATTCTAGTCCCAGGATAAAGGGAAAACAGAAAATAGAGGAGTCAATTTGTTACACTACTAGTATGAAATCTGTCATTTCTGTGGAGTTCTAGGCTGCATTTCACAAAAGTAGTTAAGGGAAGTAGTAGTAACTACAGAACTAAAATGTTCAGTTCTGCTATCAATAGCAAAAATTTGATTTTTTTTTTTCCTTTAATTAATTAAATTGAGCATTAGCAATAGCCTAGCACTGCCAGCAGGTTGAGGTAGCAACTCTCTTATTAGGAAAGGCAGAAGGAGCTGGGTCTGTTCAGCCTTGAGGAGATAGAATTGAGATGGGATCTCATCAACATCTATCAGTACCTGAAGGGAAAGAAGATGGACCAGGCTCTTCTCCATTGTGCTGAGCAATAGGACAAGAGGCAATAGGAAAGAAACTGACGCACAGGAAGTTCCACCTAAACATGACGAAGAACTTATTTACTATGCAGGTGACCATGCACTGGAACAGGTTGACCAGAGAGGTTGTGGAGTCTCCTTCTCCAGAGATATTCAAAAGCTGTCAGCACACTGAGTACCATAGGTCTAGGAGACCGTGCTTGAGCAGAGAGGTTGAGCTAGATGACCACCAGTGACCCCTTCCACTTAGCTAATCTGTGTGTTTCAGTCAACAAGGGTATGAAAGAGACTAAACCAAACTTCTCAACAACTCTAAAGAAAAGATAAAGCCTTAGAGAAACTTAGACTTTTATCAGTTCAGTTTGACTGGGCAACCAAAAGAAAGATGAAAGATGACTTTTAGAATTTACTTGTATCTCATCAGGGCAAAATAAAAGGTAACAAAGAACAAAGTTACCCAAGGTAAGCACAATATTAATTTAAATTAAAGCCATAAAATAGAAAAATATGCCCTTTCACCATAAAAAATTTATAAAAAGTTAATCACTGGAACAGAAAAAAATTAAAAAGTGTATTTAGATGAAAACTAAATGGTTATTTTCTTCTCCATGTGTTTGGTTTAAACTCCATGTGTTTGTCTTAAAACTGGATTAACCATATAAAGCTTTCTGGTCCATGGTACATGAAAAATCTGAATCACTGAGCCCATGATTTTACCTGACTCTTTACAACTATGATTCTGTAAATCTCAGGTTTTAGAAAACATTTATTGTAAGCAACATGAGAGAATTCAAAGAAAGCATCATACACTTTGTTCTATTCTTCCTGTTCTCCATAGCAAAATGAGCACTGCAAAATAAAACTAACCTGAATCTGATGAATCTGGAGCAGAATATGAAGCTGGTGTGTATGCAATCTGAGTAAAGGAGCTGTAGACACAAGACACCATTATAATAACCTATCATTTTATTACTGTATCAGCCAAGTACATGCCTTTGTCCTTCATAACCCTAAAAACCACCCACCCCAGATTTCTGAGTGGTTACTACTATCCTCTCGCTCCTCCATGGTACCATCAGTATGTAAAGATTCAAACCTAGTCCCAGAAAGGAGCTACTGCATAGCCTACCACTTTATGTGCTAATACATAATAATGAAGATACAGAAAGATGATTTAGTGAGCTGATGAATGTGATGGACAGCTACTTAATTGCAGAGGAGAAAGTTAATTCACTACTGAAGTGTCATTATTTAGGTAAAGCTTGTCTGTTGAACAGGCATCTACTTAACAGAGATGTTATTAAAGCCAAATTACAGCGAAGTGGTGAGACATCTCCATCTAAATAAGACAGACAAGTCAAAATGAGTGATGAGGTACTAATTTTACAAATTTTCAGTTAAGCCATTTATTATAATTACCATATGTTATATCTTTCGTTGCTTCATTTATCACTTCATGTGTGGAGCCATTTGATTTGTATTTTTATTATTCTAAGTAGGTAACTAATACAGACTTTTTTTTAATTAGAAAGTTATTTATGTGAAGAAGTAATATGAAAGCAGGAGAATATATATAAAGCAACAGCAATTAGATTTAATAGAAAAAAATTAATATAAACTGTTGGATGAAGATGGACACATGAGAATATCTACCTTAAATATTAAGTCTCTCATGGCTGCAAGAGAACAGCTTTAAAATATAATAAAATGGTTACATCGAACATACGAAAACTAGAATACATATTGAAACTCGACTTTTTCTGTTATTTGAAGATGATCAGGTTTTAGGGCAAGCAGTGGTTTGGAGGCAGATGAATCTACATATTATTATAAAGAGTAGATCAAAGTAATAACAGTCATAATAAGAAAATATGTATGAAAACCTCATACCTAATTCACCCAAAAACATTGAAAACATTGAGAATAAAAATCTGTTGGAATGACAATTCCATTACAGAAATCATAGATGTAAACAGAGTTAATGCAGAATTCCTATGTCTTTACTCCCCTCTCCTTCAAGAAGTTTGATGGTCATCTCAAAGGACTATGGGATGACTTTAAGAGAATTCCACTAATGGAATTACTTTTTCACACGAATGGCCTTCCCACTTGTTTTACTACTTAGGTCCCAGATAGGGCAAAACAGAGCCTGTTTTACTGCTTTCCTGCCTAATGTTAGGCAAAAGCAAATCTTGCTTCCTTCCCAGCCTGCTTGTTGCACACACACACACACACACACACACACACACACACAGAGCAACAAAGCCAGGGGGCAGCTGTAACAAGGCCCACTGCAAAGCAGATGCTTTGGAGGCTCCAAATGCCACCTGCAGTGGCTCCGTCAGACAAGAGCAAGCTTGCGTCAGCATCCCAGAACCAGCCTGGTAGTTCCCCCCTCCCTCATCTCGTCTCCATTCTCCCCAGCCCCTGCTCCCAAGACCTTGCCAGGCCATGCCATTTGCTGGGCTCGATAAAAGGAGCGAGTTTCCTGCTCCTTTGGTGTAAATACCAAAGGTGTGAGAAGTGAGAGGATAATGTTCACTCCCGTTTTGCTTGATCTAAGGAGCTTGGTCGAGGCCCAGAGCAGGAGGCTGGTCTTTGAAAGGGAAACTGAAAGTGAGCTGCTGGTTTCTTGGGAATGCATGTGGATGTTAATTTTATAGAATGGCAGAGGTTGGAAAAGTCCTTGAAGGTGGCCAAGTCCATCTGTCCAGCAAAATGGAACAAAGCTATGTTGCTTGTGGACCAAAAGTACTACAAGCCCCAGCTTTTATCCCCTCCAAGTAGAATGAGACAAGCCCACTCATATAGATCCGATTCATTGAATTAAACCAAGGCTCCCTTTTCATTCCAAGCTGAGGTTTTTAGGAATCCAAGGATGAAAGCCCATCATTATTTCATTGGCACAATGGGGACACACCTTTGGAAGTCCTGCCAGCTGGGGAAGGGGCTGGGCCTGTGGGAGGATGCACGTGCCCAGATTCTTCTCAGGGCCAATACCGTGTTTGCAACAGCAAACAAATGGGACAGACATTGCTTGAGTGATTTCATACAGACAAAAAGACCAAATGGAACAAACTTTGCTTTAATGAGAAAGACAGATTTTGTCTTAATGAAAGCAAGATACTTACGAAAGATGGAGCTTAACGAGCAACGCTAAACCTCTTACATTGACCGATAATAATCTAACAATAATAATCTAATAAGCTAATAATGGACCAAACCCCTTCCATTGACGGATAATAATCTAACAATAATAATCTAACAAGGTAATAATCTAATCTAATAATCTAACAATAAAAATATCATAACCTAATAACCTAAGAATCGAATAATCAAATTATCTAATCACAATAATAATCTAATAATCCTAATAACCCTTTAAGAAAGCTAATGAATCTGAAGTAACAAATTGAGAAATGTCTATCTAGTCAACTAAATTGAAGAATAAACAATCCTAATAAACTACTGAAAAACCAATCTGATTTCTATCTAGAGCTATTTGGCAGATAATTCTTGTGAGGCCCGGACAAGCGGCAGGGTTAATTTGGTCTTTTCTTCTTGGGGAGAGGCCCTGCTTCCTTCCGTGGGCGAAGGCTTCTCCGATGTGCGTCCCTTTCCTTGACGGTTTCAAACACCCTGGAAGACAGGAAACAAACCATCCATTGTTAATTCAATACACCCCATTAAACCAAGCTCCAAGATTTCCATGTCTCCGTGAATTTCTGTCTTTTCTGGCTGTGGCACCTCTGTAAATTGATCAGAAGCATAAATCTGATCTTTCTGGTTGCAGTTCCTTCAAACGTCTTCCTCCTTTTGCTTCATCTTATTTTTGATTTGGTCAGCACCATCAAAGCAAGCTTTGGTCTCCCTATTCCTACTTGCGTTCGAATTGTGTCTTGGTGGGGCACGGCAAGGTTTCCCTGGGAACGCTGGGCTTTAACCAAGCTCTTTGGGGTGCAAGTGCATTGTAAGGCTTTGCACGGCGGTGAGAGGCGATCCTGCGAGTGCCCTCAGCTTCCCCCGTGGTGCCTTTGAACACGGTCAGCCTGTTTTAGTCCAAAGGCGCAGGCTTTGAGCAGAAAGAGGTAGAACTTGCGCACCGTTTGCACTGGCCGCAGGGAAAGGGGCCTCCCGCCAAATGGGGTGGCTGGGGCGCTTGGCAGCAGGGACACTCCGCGTTGCGGGCCCTCTTGCGGCTTCTCTTCCCTGTCTCCCCATTCTCCTTTCTGGGAGGGCTTTTGCTCCTCTTTGGTTCGCTCACAGTCTGGAAATCAAAGAATCCTTATCAATTTTTCCTTCCTCTCACAAAGCTGGAAATCAGAGCATCCAGCGCCAAAATGCATGGGCCTAAGCAAATTCCTCCCAAGCCTAAAGAGCTGGGAAAACAGCTGGATTTGGGGGCAGGCTGCAGCGCAATGCAAACACAGCACTTGGAGGAAGAAACGCCTCCTTTCTACGGCCTGAAGGGGTGGGATCAATACGTGCCTATCTATAGTTCTGCATTTCTTAACTGAACCTCTCTGCCTAGCATCTATTTACCGCTAGTTTTCCTCCCTGTCCAGGGAATGGCTTTTAAATTCAGCCAAATTCATAAAGACACACAGCTACCCAGTTTCTACTGCCCAAACTCATCTCTTTCTCTCTCTCTCTGTGAAGCAAATTCTGGTTTGTCAGTAAGGAAAGTTTTAGCAGAGCCACAGCACGGGCAGCTCCTTTTTGGGGAGTCCATTGGCATGCTACAAAAGGTCCCTGAACATCTGCAGAATCTCCACGAGCGCAGCCAGCATTACTGATGTTAGCAAGCAGTGGGGAATGAAGGATCTGATTGGAATCAGGGAGGGTACCAGCTCTTGAGAAAGCAGTCAGTAGAGTGTCCAAGCCCAGTTTGGTGACAGTGCTGCTTTCTTGGGTCAAAGTTATGCTCCATAAGAGCATAAGAGCAGCAGCACAAACAAGGCCTGGGCAGCATCTGCTGCGCCTTTCCAGTGGATGGGACAATGTGATCCTGGCAGAGCAGTGTCTCACAGGCTTGCCAGCAGGTTTGGTTCCCTTCTCCCAGTTTCTCCACCCTCCGGGCTTGTCTTGATTTTCTTCCCACTCACCTGAGCAAGACTTTTGGCAAGTTTATATTCTTTTTTCCAGGTGTAGTAGTACTCCACACACTGGGCCACAGTCTTGCTCTGAATCTGTTGGGAAGAGAAAAAGAAGGACTCTAAAATGGCCATCCTGTAGGGTGCATTGGAGAAAAAGCGGAGAGTTCTGGAGTCACCTAGGAAGCAAAATGATGGAGTAAATTGAGTAGGGTGTAAAATGAAATAAATAAGGTGTAAAAGAGGCCTTGTGCAATGTAATATACAGTGTATNAGGACCAGGTTCTTCAGCCAGAGGGTGGTTGGGCACTGGCACAGCCTCCCCAGGGAAGGGGTCACAGCACCAGGCCTGACAGAGCTGAAAAATGGACATTTGGCCATTGCTCTTGGGCACAGGGTGCGATTCTTGAAGCTGTCCTGGGCGGGGCCAGGAGCCAGACTCGACTTTGTGGGTGCCTTGCAAGCCAGAAAGTTCTGCCATACTGTGACTGTGTTGTTGAGAAGGACCACTCCAGACGGCCCCATTTCACAGCTGCCTCTGACCATGAGGCAGAGGCAGCCCTACAGGCATTGAAAAACATAGACAAATTGATCCCAATATCTCCATAGAGATAAGAGGATCTATCCTCTATCATTCATCTACAGAGATGCAACGCAGGTAGAAAAAAAAGAATCTAGAAAGATACTAAAATCTAATGTCAGTGTAAATGATGAAAGTATGTAAGAATGGCTGAAACCAGGCCATTTTTGTAAGTGAAAGCCAAGTATTGGAGGACCGTGTCTGTCTTCTGCTTGGTGGGACAGCCAAGTGGAGCCTCCTGCCGTTCTCTTAGTGGTTTGGGGGCAAACGGGGATTTTCTTACCTTTGCCAGTGCCAAAGTAGTGTGGGGATGCCTGCTGGCAGACGAGATCAGGATGTCTACAAGGAGGCCAGATCTGGCACTGAGGCTAGAAGGTGGCTGGTCAGGGGCAGCCCAGGAGCAGATCCTGCAGCTGCTGCTCCAGCGCTGGTCCAGCACCAGTGTTCCACCAACGGCCACAGGAGTGGGAGACAACGACGACAGTTGCTATGGGCACAGCCCAACATTCCATGCCTGGGGGAGCCAGGGGAGCCAGGGGAGCCAGGGGACACAAACAGGGATGGGGCACCTTGGCCTCTTTTACTTCTGCTGCTGCGAGGTTGCCCTGAGGACCTGCCCACTGGGCCATTTCATGCTAGACCTGTGGACAGGGCAAAGCAGTGCAGGGAGAGCCCTGGGTCTTCTGCGTGCTTCTCTGGAAGGTGCCTCCAGCTGAACGGGGGCCTGGCTCTGTCAAAGGGCCCGTAGCACATTGTCTGCACTGGAGAAGCAGAAGGATCCTGGCCCTGTCTCTGCTCCAGCTGCGAGAGGAGCAAGAGCCTGCCAGTCGTTCCGTGGAGAGGCAGCTCCACAGCTTTCTCTCAAAGTGGAAGCATTCATCCAGCCCCCTTTATAAACTGTCTGATGCCTAATGATGTCTCTTGATGTTTTTCCTCCTGTGAGCCGACCAGGCTCTCAAAATACAGTCTGTTTTACTGCTTTCCTGCCTAATATTAGGCAAAATCTTGCTTCCTTCCCAGGCTGCTTGTTACACACACACACACACCAGTAAATTGAGGGGGCAGTGTTCTCAAAATTGGTGTGCTGCAAATATTTTGTAAATATTTTGTAATATTTCAAGTCCCACTCTTGACTTGCAGAAATCTATGTCTAGATAAACAGCACCCTTTCATGCAGTCCAGAGCCCTGAGCTCCAGAAAGGTTATAGTACTTTGAAGGGATGAAATGTCTTTTTCATCTTCTGTCCTCTTGTAGACAAGTGAAACTTAGACATGAAGCTCTGATTTTTTTCTCTCTGATAAGAAAGTTGGGGAAATTGGTTTCATTTATGGCAAATCAAAGCAGAGCAGGATAGAGGGAAATAAACCAAATCTGAATTTCTCCTTTTGCTGTGGGTGTGCCTGTTTTTTCCCCCTGTCTTTAATATGTTATCCCAGAAATGCTCTCAGGTTTGCTGATGGATTTGCATTAACCAGCAGTGGGTTTGTCTTGTAGTCAACTGGCATTGGCTCCATCAAACTTGGGGAAACTTCTGACAGCTTCTTATTTGAAGCCACCCCTGTAGTTCTACACATGAAGTGCAGCCGGAGGATCATCAGCTCTTTCCTTTGCCCTAGGAAAGCCATGTGCAGTGCTCCTGAGAGCAAGAGCCACTACAGAAAATTGTCTGAAGGCTTTTTTTGTCAGAAAATGCTTGAAGAATTAAAAATTATAAATTTTGATATTGTCCTTTAATTTGCTAAATTGTTGAGTAAAATCGGTCTTTTCCTCAGTGTTGTAGCTGTTGGTATGCTTTTCCTTACACAATTTATGAGTCATATATTGTTGTTATTATTCAAATAAATAATTGTAAGTTACATATTTTGTTATTTCACTTTGTTACTGATATGGAGCCTGGCACTCTCACCAAGCCCATTAGTTCAGTAATTACAATCACGTCACTGTTGTGGTATTTAAGTATAATTTGGGACATCTGAGTATAATTTGAAAGATTTAATGGAGTCATAATATTAAGATGTGGGGTAAGTGAGACTTGCAGACTTCTGGTGTATTAAAATACCTGAGGAATTTAACTGCCACCCACCTTGTTGCTGGCATGCAAGGGTGCAGCTGACACCAGCAGAGAAACAGAGATCACCAGGGAAGCTATGGTTCCGTCCTCCACAGGCACCCAGGGCATGCAGGCAGGTTTTTGGTATCCCACTGTCTCCAATGACAGTCCCTGAGAGTTAATGCTTCTCATGCCGTGTACCATAAACATAAAAAGGGGGACAAGGGGGTATCACTGGCCATTGGCCATCCAAGTACTTCAAAGTTCTTTGCAAAAGATTCTTTAGTCCTTAGGAATTGTTTTTTTTGTTACAGAAAATGAAAATTATAATATAAGCAACTACACCAAATTTCTCTGAGCACAATGTAATTCAGACATCAGACCAGGAATCCTTAGTGTTCTAATTCCATGTCTTTGTTTTTTAAAAACTGAGCTTTTTATTAGTACTAGAACTATTTAGAACTATAATAGTACTATAACTATTTTTCACTCCTATTTCACAGCTAAAAACTAGTAACAAAATTCAGAAACAGCAACATTATATGGAAGAAAAAGATGTGGACATTTGTTATACTTAGCACATTTTTAATTAGAAAGACATTTTGGATAGTTGTGTGGGGACAGAATAAGATGGAGGGATTTACATACTGGAAGCAGAAATTAGATTTCCTTATACTTCTATGATTTTATGTTTGTCATATAATATACATAATAAATTTGGCAAGGATTATAGAACACAAGTTTCTTTCAGCAATAAGCAAATGAATTAAAACACTCAAGTTATATACAGCATTGTTGTTTAAAACAGTAAAGGATGACAGATGACCTCAAAAGTGTAGATGTTTTGTAGATGTAGATGACAGATGTTTTTGCACTAAAAGGAAATAAGAATGAGGACCTATTTCAATGGTATATGGAATGACAATTGCTTACTGTTTTGTAAATGTGAAAATGTTATTACCAGTGAAAATACCTATTAATTCTTCAACTTTAAATGTATAGTAGAACTTCAGTTTTCTTTTTCTTCAATCTCTGTTAATCCACAGAATCTTGGATAACTCTATAAAAATAATTAAACAATTCCTAAATGTTAATTTGTAAGTTAGTACACAAAACAGAACTGAAACAGTGCTGTGGTAGGACAAACCAGGACAACACTGTCACAAAATTCCTGGAGGAAACACTTCTTCAGAAGCAATGATGGAATGTAATTTACTGACCTCAATCCTGTAATATAGCTGGGTCCAAAATATTCCGTTTATTTGCTCACCAATTCTTGCAAGCATAAACAACCTCTAGATTTAAAAGTGCAAGTGGAGAGTATGGCACATTGGGCGCTATACAATTAGCCAGTATAAGCACAGTGCATAGAAACATACACACGTTTACATACACAAAGAGAAAGAGAGGAGAATGATGTTTTCACTCATGCTCAAATTAAACATCGCTCAAGTCTTAAGAATCTTTATCTATGGCATACAACCTTGGGAAACATATTTTTAACAGACATATTTAAAGATATTTAACTATCTGTGATAGGAGTTTTTAGAAGCAGTCATTTATAAAAAGTTCATGTAAGCAGTCAGTCATTAGAAAGCAAGCTGATAAAACTTACCTTATGTCATACAGAAATGACAACCTTCAAAGGCAGTGGGAATTGTTTTGCTATGTATTATTTCAATGTTGTGTTTTAAAAGGCAAAATTCAGTCTCTAAATTTATGGAGTATGGATTGCAAATATGAACCAACATCAAAAAATTAGAATGAGCCAATGCAGATCACAACTCTAACATCAAAATTAACCAAGCAACACAAATTCAGTACTATCTGTTTCATGGAACATTTTAATTTTTTTAATATTCGCTAGGACTGTTGTCCCATATGTCAATGTAAATCATAAGATTACACAGGCCCCACTTTATATGGGATGTACTGGAGAAGGGAAAACTCATGTAGTGCTGTAAAACTGAAGTGGAAATCAATTTAGCAACAGCATTCTGGGAAGAGATGCTCAGTGAAAAGTGGATTAGTCAGGGAAAGGTTGTTACAGTAAATGACACATGAAATTATAAAAGCCTTGCTGAGAGTTTTTAGGTGTTAGGGTGTATAAGAAAGGGGGCCACTATGACTGTGGAGTTCTAACATTTTTACTTCACTTTATGTTTCATTGCAAATGCTTAACAGAATCATTGCCAAGCTTATCTTTTGGACGGGACAACTAAATGAAGCTGCATTGCCTTTTTAACATTTCCCAGATAGTTACTAAGAGGATGGAGCACTTTTGTTGTATTTTTCACATAAATTTTCATCTGAATTAAATATCAAATATATTCTTTTACTCTCTGCATTTTCTCAGCCTTTCTATGATGCTCTGATAGATATCCTTCCACAAAAATAGGAAGAATGTTATTTGGTTGCTAAATGTTACTCAAATATTAAAGAGTATCTCACAGCATGGGCATGTAGTATAAGAATGAAGCAGAAAATATATCTGTTACATCTGTTACATAATCTGTTATT